GGCCTCATGTGATCAGATTTTCCAGCCACGTACTCCGTACGCAGCGATTCGTCTCGTCGTTTTGTAATTGAAGAATGCAAGTGAATAGTTGAACAAAACTAAATTTATAAACTTAGGTCATCACAAAGGTGATTAGATGTTTTGTTTATATCGTTGTCTAATCGTTCTTTCATTGGCTAACGCTTTATTTGCTGTGTTCGTGAGCAGTTAATACCTTTCTCTAGGGTACGCATCATGGTGGTAATCATTGCAGATCCCACCACTTTTGGCGGTGGTATACGTAGCGCATTCAGCTACGGCCTGTTCAAACAAACGATATCATAAACGCAAAAAAAAAAGGGGAAAAAATATCCCGGATTGGAGCAACATGTAGAAACTGATGATATAATAGACAATTAAATAACGTAAAAATAGAATGAGAGGAATTTGCACGCGAAATAAACGATCGTTGTGTCACGACTCGCGAGACAAACACAGCAATTTCACCCGGCTGACCTTGACCGGAACCGGTATGTACGGCGCAACGACGCTGTCTAATGACCTGTTTTCGTTGAGTACATCACTGAAACCGGCGTGGTGAGAATCGTCAGTTATGCAAATGCAACGTTGCTGTCGCTTCTAGCCAACGCATTCAACATGCCATCACGTCGCTTAGATGAATTGCTGATAGATTAGCGCGCGAATTACGGACATGAAGAAGCAAAACAAAAAACGATGATCAGCGTCCCTGGTAGCGTAAAAACTTTTGTTTTACAAGTAACGACAACCAACACGTATGAGGCACATCACGCGGGAACAAAATGGAGTCTTTCAGTTCCTTCTGATGCTCTGCACTGCCATTCCCTTCTTGCAGTCCGCGCCGTCATGTAGTCCGCGCTTCAAAGAATGACGATACTGCATGGTAAGAAACACGAAGGGCGTCTTTTACCTGGGCCTCTAATTTTATCAAACACAAAGTCGGGGTCAAAGTTCACGGAGGGCACCGATTGGACTATCACAACGATGACTTCGCGCTTTCGTCGGCAGCGTCCAATCGGCGCGCTCCACGAACTTTTAGCTCTAACTTCGTCTTCGACGAGTTTAGGGCCAACACATAAAAGTGCAAAGACTAACGAGATGTGACATCAAGTGGGCACGGCGAAAATGCTACGACAATGACGCCTAACATACCGCTCCTGTTTGCTCTGCAGTTTCTTCTCGTGGCGAGTGACGGTGCATGGCCTTCCATCCTTCTACCCGAGAGCGACCAACGCCGCGCCCGTGATGACGAAGACAGCACCGCTGATTACCCTGGCCGCCCCCCTCGATGGCGATGAATTCAACGCTGGAGCGATACCAGGATTTCTGCCGCCAGCGTCGCCTGACACGCAAGCCCCACCAGCATCGACATCAAGCACACTGCCTTCAAAAGCCTTCTCACAGGCGTTTTCGACCAGTGGGCACGGCGATAATGCTACGACAATGACGCCTAACATAGCGCTCCTGTTTGCTCTGCAGGTTAGTAGGAAAAAACTTTCGTACTCCGTTAGAGGTAATTACGTTTGTCTTGTTTTGCCGTGCCCACGGATGTGTCTGAAGCGGTTTCTTGACTTGTTGTTACTTCTTAGTGGAGACATAGAGCGTAACCCTGGTCCCATTACTAAACCTGAAGATAGAGTCGCTTGTCAGCGAAATGCATTCCGGCCAAGCAAGCGTGTTGATTCAGCTCAAAGAAATCAGGGACGAACAAAAACAAACAAATGACTCAATAACCACTCTCACCGCGCGTGTTGAAATGATTAAAAGTGATCTCGCAAGTTGCAAATCGAAAATGAACTCGACAGACGAACTTGAGGCGAAATTCGAGTCGGTACTTTCGGAATTGACCATTCTCAAGCGTCGTTCCGATGACGCAGAGTGTCGTTCCCGTCGATCCAACTTGCTTTTTTTTGGCATAGATGACTCGGCTAAGGAAACGTGGGCTCAATCGGAAAAGCTGGTTTTGGATGTGTGCTCAAATAAGCTTGACGTACAAATTGACCCTGCTACAATCGAACGGGCTCACCGCATCGGGAAGTTCGACAGCAGCAAGAAAAGGCCTATTGTTGTAAAGTTTTTCTTCTTTAAACATAAGGATGCGGAGCTGGGGTCGTGCTACAAGCTAAAAAAATTCAGGTATTTCTATCAGCGAGGATTTTTCACAAAATGTTCAACTTGCCAGAAAACGGCTGCATGAATTTGCTCGTACCCAGGGGGGTCGTTACAAACTTCGTGTCGACAAATTTTATATCGGCGATAAGCAATTTTTGTTCAACCATTACACAAACTAAGTTTATGAAGCCGCCTCCTAACTAACTAGAGATAGCGCGTTTGAATCTGTCCCTCTGAGCTAAAAAAAACGCCGGTAAACACACGCGTACAGTTCCCTTTCTTTGCCAAATGAGATTTCAGTTCTTTTTACTAACATAAGAAGCGTAGTCCGCAACCGCGATGACCTGTCAATAGTGAGTGATGCATCATCAAGCGATATTGTTGTTTTGACAGAAACGTGGCTTTCAAGTGTTGTCCGTGATAAAGAAATTTTTGACTCTGTTAAATGCTACAATTTTGATCGGTGTGACAGAACAGATAGGCGTGGGGGAGGTGTTTTAATCGCAGTGAATAAAGCCATTGAATGTTACCACGTGAATATTGTTTTCCCGTTAGAGCTTGTTTGCGTACGCCTACAGTGCGCTTATAGAAATATTATTTTGTGCGTTTGTTACCGTCCTGCCAACGCTCCTGCAAATTTTTGCTCGGATTTGCATGATGCTTTAAATATGATTTGTTTAAGGTTCCCCCTTGCACCCATGTTTTTACTAGGTGATTTTAATCTTCCCTTGATCAACTGGTCTGGATCGTTTCCCGCTGCATCTTGTAGCTCTTCTGATTACTTTTCTTTTTTTCAATGTGTCACTGAGCCTACTCGGATTACTGATGCGACGGCCAATGTGTTAGACCTTATTCTTACAACCGACCCTAATCTCGCTTCTTCTATAACTTATATACCCGGCATTAGCGACCATGCTATTTTGAATTTCAGTCTGCAAGCTTCCTCGCATGTTGCTAACAAATCTACCAAGCACTTTCTCGATTATAGCAAAGCAAACTTCGCTGCAATAAATAACGAGTTGGCTTGCTTTCTTGACGAATTTCTGCCTGCGTTGTCAGATCGCACGACTGAGACTAATTGGAACATGTTTAAAAACAAAGTAAATTCTCTAATTAATTTATTCATTCCATGTAGGAATATCGTATCTAACCACGTGTCTCCCTGGTTTAATGTAACTCTTAAACGCCTTGCAAATAAGAAAAAACGCCTTTTCCGCGCTGCAAAGTTGTCTGGCCTCACTGAGCGCTGGGAGCTTTATAAATCTGTTGTCAATGCTTATAAGGCAGCCATCAAGCAAGCAAAACTGACTTTTTTTAATGTTACCCTTCCTTCAATGTTAGCAAATAGCCCTAAACAATTTTGGAGTGTTATGAACGGGCCTAAAGGAATGGCTGTATCGCTCACTGATGTTGAGGGTATTGACATTCCGAAAGCTCAATGTGCATCCATTCCGAACGACGTCTTTGTCAAGGCGTTTACTGATAATGATGGTTTAGATTATCCTTTTTTATCAGATTATGCTTTCTTTCTTATGGATCCGCTTGCTTTTGATTACGACGGGATTGTAAAGTTAATTGATAATTTGTGAAAGTTTCTTCCTCGTGTGGTGTTGACAACATTACCTCTAAATTTCTTAAGAACAGTAAACATTACATGTCAATTTTTCTTACAAAACTTTTTGAGCAGTCACTCAACCTTGGTGTCTTATACCGGATGATTGGAAAAAAGGAAAGGTGGTTCCACTTCACAAGACAGGTAACAAACGTAATCCTCTTAATTACAGACCCATTTCGTTAACCAGCACCCCCTGCAAACTTTTAGAGCACATTATTTATTCTCACTTAGTTGATTTCTTAGATTCAAATTCTTTCTTTTCACCCTCACAACATGGTTTTCGCAAATCTCTTTCTTGTGAGACTCAGCTTTTGTCCTTCACTAATGACCTACTTTCCATTCTTGACCGTGGGTCCCAGGTTGACTGTGTGTTTCTTGATTTCGCCAAAGCTTTTGATAAAGTTTCTCATAAATTATTACTTTTTAAACTTAGCAAACTTAACATTTATCCTAATGTTTTGTCGTGGATCACATGTTTCCTAAATAATCGATCTCAATATGTTTGTGCGAATGAAACTAATTCTTCCCTTAGTCCTGTTACCTCTGGTGTCCCACAAGGTTCCGTTTTAGGACCTCTTTTGTTCCTTATTTATATAAATGACTTACCACTGTGTGTATCATCCTCAATAAGTTTATTTGCCGATGAATATCTAATTTATCGTGAAATAACTAACGATTCTGACGCAACACTACTTCAATGTGACCTGTGTGCTGTATCCGAATAGTGTAACTTATGGAAAATGACTCTTAACACTAACAAATGCAAATCCATGAGGGTTTCCGGTCGGAACACGTCCCCATCACCATACTCAATTTCTAACAACCTACTGGAATCTGTGACGTCTTACAAATATCTTGGTGTTCACATTACTTCTAACGTTTCATGGAAATTACATACTGAACATATTATCGCTAACGCTAACTCTATGCTTGGATATCTGAAAAGAAACTTCTCTTTAGCCCCAATATCATTAAAACTGCTTCTGTACCAGAGCCCTAGTTCGTTCAAAATTAGAATACGCCTCGTCAATCTGGGACCCCGGTCACACAACGCTTGTGACTAACGTTGAAGCTGTTCAAAATCGTGGAGTACGTTTTATCTATTCTATCATCGCACCGCTAGTGTATCATCTATGAAAACCTCATTGTCCCTGCCTCTTCTTTCCTTACGGCGAAAAATATATCGTCTATGCCTTTCCTACAAAATTTATCACTTCAACGCTTCACTAAAGGATAAGTTATTCCTTAACCCGACATGTGCAAACTGCTTCAAGATGGTCAGTCTAAACTACTAATGGTTGTAAATGAAATCAAAACAAATCAACAGCAGTTGGAAGACAAAATCACTGACATCTCTAACCGGCTCCAGAATGTGGAAACTAAGACTAATGTTCTTGATAGACTGGATTGTGAGGTACGCGCTGCACATCAGGTTCTAGAAGAAGTTAAAAAAGAAAATGCATTCTTGCGTGCTAGACTTGACGACCTCGAAGATCGGTCTCGGCGAGACAATCTAATCTTTCATGGTATAGATGACTCGCCCTCAGAGACCTGGGCCCAATCTGAGCAAAAAGTACACTCGCTGCTTTCTAACGTCCCTGAGCTGAGCATTTCTGAAGAGGGAATCACTCGTGCGCACCGGCTTGGTACGTTTTCTCGAAACAAGTGTCGACCAGTAATGGTAAAACTTGTGTCAACCAAAACTAAAGAGAGCATCCTTTCAGCAAAAGCTAAACTAAAAACATGGAACGTCTCAGTCAATGAAGACTTCGCACCAGCCACACGTTATGCACGCAAGAAGTTGTTTGACTTCGCAAAATCTCAGAGTCCCAATAGTATATTTAAAATAAGGTACAACAGGCTTCACCTAAACAAGAAGTGTTACGCCTACTGCAGTACGAGTGACGAAGTTTATAAAATTTCTAGTGCTACCAGTGCTACTGATAGAGGTGCCGAGTCACTCCAACCGCAACACGTGCAATCAGCAACGTCATAACAATCGTGCACTCTTCCAGTCAAAGATTCGACGGTGGAAAATGTTTCTGTTTTCTTTACAAATATCCGAAGCGTAATAAAGAAACGCGATGAATTGTGCTCCGCTCTTGATTCTGCTTCTGCCGACATCATTGTGTTGACCGAGACATGGCTCTCTAGCAAAATACGTAACGATGAACTTTTTTTTTTGTGATAAGCAGTACAAAGTTTATCGGCATGATAGGGATTCGCGGACGGGCGGAGGCGTGCTGGTTCCAGTTGCTGATTACATTGAGTCATCCCATATTAACTTAGCATCTAGCTTAGAAATTGTGTGTGTACGTTTCCAACTAAGTCACAGAAACATTGTTGTCTGTGCATGTTACCGCCCACCTACCTTTGCTAAGAATTTTGTGGAGTTATTACATGACACACTTAGCGGGATTGTTTCAAGGTTTCCTAACTCGCAGCTATTTATTTTTGGCGATTTTAACTACCCAAATATTAACTGGTCACAAGATATTCCTATTTGCGTGCCTTCTTCTTCTGAAAGCAACGATTTCCTAAATCTCTGTGCAGATTTTAATCTTTCGCAATTAGTAACCAAGCCCACGAGAATTACGTCCTCAGCATCCAACGTTCTTGATCTTATTTTAACTACGTCTAAGGACCTCGTAGAGCCGATCTCTTATCTTCCAGGTCTTAGCGACCATTTAGCCTTGCATTTTTTCCTGAAAAGTCCTAAGAACAATCCTGCTGTTTGTGTCAAACACATCCGTGATTACGCCAGAGCCGACTTTGAATCCATAAACCGCGAGCTATGTACATTCATGGGCTCTTATATGCAGAATTTTTCAGAACGATCGGTTGAAGGCAATTGGTGTCTGTTCAAAGATAAAATTACTTCATTGATCACCAACTACATTCCCTGTCGTGTTGTCAAATCAAACTCGAAATCACCTTGGTATAATACGACTTTAAAAAGACTGTCTAATAAGAAAAGCGCTTGTTTCGAGCAGCTAAATCATCAATGTCTCCCGATCGCTGGGCCGCGTACCATTCGGCAGCTGAAGTATACAAAATGGCCGTCGATGAAACTAAATATAACTTCTTCAGCATAAAATTGCCCTCAATGCTCACTAACAATCCAAAACAGTTTTGGAACTTAGTCAACCCTGCCGACAAACATTTAATACAACTTAAAAATTCAGGCGGAGTGGTGATTTCTGGTGAAGATTGCGCTATGACTTTCAACGAAAGTTTCATCAGTGTCTTTAGTGATTTCTTAGGTGCCAACCATCCCGTACTACCATCTTCTGATTTTTTGCCCATGTTACCAATTGTGTTTGATCCACCCGGTATTGTTAAAATTATTGAAAACCTCAAGCTGTCGTCGGCATCAGGTGTCGACGAGATAAACGCGAAATTTCTAAAAAATACCAAAATGTACTCCTCAATCATCTTGTCATCTTTGTTTCAACAATCACTTGATCATGGCGTCTTACCCGAGGACTGGAAGGTAGGGAAGGTTGTTCCAATTCACAAAGCTGGTGACCGTTTCTCCCCTTTCAATTACAGGCCAATATCTCTTACTAGCGTACCCTGCAAAATCATGGAGCACATAATTTCTTCACAGCTCTCGCGTTTCCTGGAGTGCAACTCCTTCTTTAGCCCTTTTCAACATGGATTCCGCAAATCTTTCTCGTGCGATACTCAGCTTTTAGTTTTCACCCACAACCTCCACTCGGCTCTGGACCGTGGATCTCAGACTGACTGCATCTTTCTGGACTTTGCAAAGGCTTTCGATAAGGTAACACATAAACTACTACTATACAAGCTTAGCCTACTCAGTATTGATCCATATATCTTATCTTGGTTAGAGTGTTTCCTCACTAACAGATCGCAATTTGTAACTGTCAATAACAAACTCGTCATCGTCCCTCGTTAAGTCCGGTGTACCGCAGGGTTCTGTCCTAGGCCCCCTCTTATTCTTAGTATATATAAATGACCTACCTACTAGCATTTCCTCCTTCATAAGCGTATTTGCGGATGATTGCGTTGTTTACCGTGAAATTACTAATGACTCTGACGTACACATAATTCAATCTGATTTAAATGCAATTTCTTCCTGGTATAATGCTTGGCACATGAAACTAAACACTATGAAGTGTAAGACAATGAGGATTTCTCGCAAAGCAGCACTCTGTCCTAACTACTTCCTATCAAATAACATCCTTGAAAACGTATCAACTTACAAATATCTAGGTGTTCATCTCTCTTCTGACCTATCATGGAAAACTCACACCGAATATATCGTTAATAACAGTAACCGCATGCTTGGATATTTAAGACGTAACTTTTCTCTAGCTCCATCATCATTAAAATTACTACTTTATAAAACACTGGTGCGACCAAAACTTGAATATGCATGCTCGGTCTGGGGTCCCGGTACAGAAAGCCTCATATCAGCGCTTAAAGCCATCCAAAACCGGTCAGCACGTTTTATATGATCAAACTACCATCGTACATCAAGCGTCACATCCATGAAAGCTAGTCTCTCACTGCCCCCTCTTTCCACTCGTCGCACTATCTCCCGTCTCTGTCTATTCCATAAAATTTACTATGCCAATTCACTCTTGAAAGAACAACTAATCAGTGCTCCCATCTACGTATCCTCTCGCCTCGATCACTGCTGCAAAGTTGGTATACCCACTTCCATTTCAAATTCTTTTTTCAAATCTTTCATCCCAAAAACATCTCGTGATTGGAACGGCCTTCCCTCACCCATTGCGTCCATTGGCGATTTTGTCCTCTTTAAAGAAGCTTTAACAAGTTACTATTCATGATCTGTGCCGGACTAACCATTTTCAGCGTTTTTTGTACTTCCGTTGCCCACCCCCTCTGTAATGCTTCGGCCCTGAGGGTCTAATAAATAAATAAATAAATAAATATATCTCTTCACGCATTGATCATCGTTTCAAGGTCGGCATTCCTCACTGTGAGACATCAGCATACAACGACTCCTTCATACCAAGAACGACTTTTGAGTGGAACCACCTTCAAGCATCTTTAGCAGCTATCCCATCACTTGATTTATTTAAAGAAGCGTTTACTAATAACTTTTGTTAATATTTTGTCGAATTGATTGTGTTTTATTCACTGTCTTTTACGTTTGTATTTCCTTTTGAGTGAATTCTTATATGCCCCACCCCCTCTGTAATGCCCTATGGGCCCTGAGGGTATTGAAATAAATAAATAAATAAAAGTGAAATTTGAGAAAGGCTCGCCGGAGAAAACTCATCCAATGTTTGGCGGGTCCGGAGAAAACCTCACCGGTCTTTTGAGAGGCCCAGGGAAAAGCTCGCTTTGAACTGCATTTTAATGAAAGGTGGTCTTTATAATTTTAGAGCACTAGTGCAACCAAAGCTAAACGCACCTCCCACGCAAGCGGTACATATTTCAAAGCAAGGTGCTCTACTATAGCCCTCGTTCGTACGGCTTATATGTCCTTCATCTTCGCACGACTGTTGCCATATTTAATTCTGATGGAGAGAGGATCTCAGAGATCAACTTCCTTTATTTTCCGATCGGAAGGACTTAAAATGCCATGCTTACCTTCTGGTGAGATGTTCAAATGTGAAGATTTGGCACAGCTCGTAGTGCCGGCTACTCCATGAATGTTAATTCAATTTACTATAAACATACAGGCTACTAAGGCAGCAGCCTACACTCGTTATAGCTTCCCCGACTAACGTTTATCATTGCTGAATAAAACTTTATTTTTATTTACCACCATGTATCAGATATACTTGAAAATACATCCGATAGTAAAGTGCTGAAAAGTCACACGCACATATGGCAATAAAATACACTTCAGTTGTGTGAACGTTTTTAGTTAGTGGACGGATCCTTCAAAAGTCCGATGAGCTTTTCTCCGTTTCCAACGGTTTCACCACGAGCTTTTCTCGGCCGTCGCCCCCATCAGTCTCATTGTCGAGCCTTGACGCGCAGGACTTTATCAACAACTTTGTCAGCTAAATAAGAAAGAAAAAGGAAATAAAATTGGCAAACACTTACGCTACCCGTAAGGTGAAACACTGTGACAGCTAAGGTGTGGCGTTGGAGGTCATTTCGGAGCAGATGGACTGAATGAACGGTAAAGGTGCGAGCGCGCACCACGGAGTTCGCATAGGCGTTTCGTATTAAACCGAGTAAAGCGCCGGACGAAAATTCCATAGAGGATTGGAACCAATAAGGGTGTATCAAGTAGCAAGCATTTCGTGAACCCGTTAAACAATTTTATTGTACACAAACTAGGACTGCCTCGTGGTAATTGAAGAACACTTCAAAAGTCGCGCTCCCGAGTTTGAAATCCAGGTAACGACGAAACTGCACGTGTGTGCATGAACCGTTCTCTGTCGTTGGTGTGGCTGCCTGAACGTGTAATGCAATGTTATTGGACACAAACTAACACCTCTTTGTATTCACTGAAGAACACTTCCGGAAATCGCGCACTCAAGTTTCATGCGTGTAGCTCCACCTAATCTCACGCCCGTTGTTTCGCCGGCCTATAGCTTTATTCGTTTTACCGCGCTTTGGTTTTATTGCTTCCATTGTCAGCAGTCGCATGTTTATGTTTCCACGTGCCGTCATGGTGTTACGCGACGACGTATTGTCATGTGACGTCACAATATCACGTGACGTCATGACATCACGTGACTCATGGTGCCACCTGACGTCATTATGTCGCGTGACGTCCCTGTGCAACGTGAATTGACATGACAACGTCACGTCAAGGTGTCAGCCGACGCCAGGTAACAGGTCACGTGATGCGCGGCGTGACGTCATCGGCGTGACGCCAATGGGGATTCTTCTGGCGAAGTGCCAAAAATGACCCGCGTCGATATGAAGCGCGGTTGTCGGCGC